GCTTCCAGGCTGCAAGTGCACATTGTTCAAGGTACAAGAATATTGCTTCTTTAATATAGTCCAAGGTCAGGGAGTTTATAAGCTAACTTCTGTGCTTCAGTTTTGACCTTATTGAGGTAAAAGAAATGTTTGAATAGTCTTTAAAAATGCTAGTAATTTAAATGATAAATGCTGCTAAGTGCTTTTCTCCTTCGTGCCTAAAATTTACACAAAATCTTCCATTGAAGTATACAATCAAGAACCTAGGCAGCTGCATTTAGATTTACATCTACTGCCAAAACAATATATCTTTCAGATAAGAATTTCATGTGTGACTCTTAATAATAATGTTTTAAATTAAAAGTCTGATTCCATCTGAATAATGAAGCAAGATAGCCAAGAAAATAGATATGAGCCTGACGACACAAATTCATTAAAATAAGAAAAATCCATGGAACAGTGATGATAATGAGAAACCATTGAGTATCAGCTGACAACCTGAAAACAATGATTACATTTATGGCTAGCTGCATGGAGGGGTCTGTTTTACTATTTTTAGGTCTTTCTCTCTCTAAATCCGAGGGATAAAAAAAACTGTGGCAACTCAGTTGCTCTCATTACCATGGGCATACAGAATCTTAGTAATACAAAAACTAAGTCTGATGGCTGTATAAGGAATAATGCTTTATTTTACTTAAGTAAAGATTAGCATTGATGATTGCCCTTATTCCTGTACTATATAATTATTTAGTAATGACAAACATTACCACTTCAAGAAGGCAATTTAATGTAATCAAGATATTCTCCTTTCTAATTTTGCTCTTGGTTTCCATTTAATTTGCAGATAGTGTATGTGTTACCTGTCTTCATTTTAGAAATAAGTTGTCCATACAAAATCTGCTTTTAAAATAATTGTTTGAAGATGTGCAATCTTTGTTTTCCTTGTTAAAATATTTTTACCTTCTTCTGAGTATAATGAACTTCCGTAGCAAGTGCTGATGAGATGCATGATTGCCCATCAGTTCCTTGCCCCTTTCTTCATTGCTTATACTGTTCCATTTTTTTTAGCAAATCAACTTACTAGTGAGCAAAAAGTGGCACCAATGCAAGAGCCAAATCCATCCTATAATATCTGTGTATTTGCCTGCCTGCAGGGCTGCACTCATTCTCTTGACAGACCATGGGATGTGTCACGGAGTTGACCAGATCAATCTATGTCTGTGGCAGGGGCGACAGGCCTCTGCCCTCCCCCCCCACCCCAGTCCCACAAAAAATGGGAAGGAAGGAAGGGAGGAAAAGAGCAGCGGCAACAATCTATGGAGGAAAACTTATTTTACTATAATATTGGAATGCAAGATAACACAATATATACAATTTAATTGAAATTGAGATTAATAAATCAGACAAGATGAGAGAGAGAGAGTTCCCGGGACCGAGTCAAACCTGAAAAGCTTGGAACGGCTAGGAAAGCACCTCCAGCACCCACTGCCAGGCAGCAAGAGAGCGCCCCCCCCACCCGGAAGGGCCAGATCCCGTGACTGCTGTAATGTACAGGGATAGGTAGCTGGGATTGGGGCAGTGGCACTTTAATGCCCCGTACACTACATGATGTTTTGATGTGGAATACTGAAGCCCAAAAACAAAAAACAAAAACGTAGAACCCTGGGAAGGCAAATGGGATCCTGGGCTCCATCAGGAGAGGGGTGGTCAGCAGGGACAGGAAGGTGATTGTCCCTCTCTACTCGGCTCTTGTGAGGCCCCATCTGCAGTACTGTGTCCAGGTGTGGAGCCCTCAGTACAAGAAAGACATAGAGATTTTAGAAAGGGTTCAGAGGAGGGCGACTAAGATGATCAGGGGGCTGGAGCACCTCCTCTATGAGGACAGGCTGAGGGAGTTGGGCTTGTTCAGCCTGGAGAAGAGAAGGCTGCGAGGTGACCTCATTGCAGCCTATCAATACCTGAAGGGAACCTACACCCAAGAGGGGAGTAAGCTCTTCAAAAGGGCTGACAATAGCAGGACTAGGGGAAATGGATTCAAGTTGAAGGAGGGAAGATTTAGGTTGGATGTTAGGGGGAAGTTCTTTACAAGGAGAGTGGTTAGGCCCTGGAACGGGCTGCCCAGGGAAGTTGTGGATGCCCCATCCTTGGACGTGTTCAAGGCCAGGTTGGACGGGGTCCTGGGCAACCTGATCTAAATGTGTACGTTTGGTGGCCCTGCTAGGCAGGGGGGTTGGAACTACATGATCCTTGAGGTCCCTTCCATCCCGGGTGATTCTGTGATTCTGTGATAACCATGACAGGATGTTAGGAGTACTGAGAGGGTTCACAGGACAAGCTGATGCTCTGTATATTTCCAGCCAGAGACAAGTTTTATAACTGATCCATCTCCATTGACTTCTGTTGACTATGGAAAGACAAAAGGCACTGCCTGGGACACAGCAAGCTTTTGCTGTTGGAGTGCAGATGGCATGGAAGTGCTTTATGTGACATAAACTGTCACAAAACATTCAGTGCAGTAAAGTTCGCTGTTGAGACCTATTTTCTTTAAGCTTTCAGTCTGTCACCATCTTTTGAAAACTAGCATAGAACCAGCAAGCCCATTTCCGTCAAAAAATGAAAGTCCTGTTTATTCTTCCATTTTCTCCCACCAGGTAATTCCATTCTACAACATCACCTCAGATATTATAGTAGAATTAATGAAGAAAGTAGATTTTTAAAAAGGTAAGTGAAAAGGAAAGGGATACTTTCAGACTAGACATTTGCCACACCTGAGTCTGCTGAACTTCCTAGGTACAATATGAAGCCACTCACTTTCTGCATTATAGGCACAGATGTCCTAAGATGTTTTAATATCACCTCAATATACAGACCTGTAGTTGATTTGAATACCACTAACATTCATTGCTGAGTCCTGTATGGACCATAGCGAGTGTTTCTTTGAGTCTGACTGACAGCTCACACTAAAATGCTGTTAGAGACAAAGAACATCACTTTACTTCCTGTTTTCCTGAAGCCTTGATGGTTATTCTGGTTCTAATGGTTTTCTCTTGATTTAAGATGCATCATCTAATACTTTTTTTGAAGTTAAACTAATGACGTCACAAATCACAGATCTCCCATTTGGCCAGTACTGCCAGTACTTGGTTCACCTGTTTTTTAATTTGTCATTTGGAGGAACTACTGATTGAAGTAAAGTTCTACTTGAAAATATAAAATCTTATGAGTCTGGGGACTTTGTCGTTCTCTGTGCCTTGTACATACTGAAAGTAGCCTGTATTTTGACCTATTTTTCACTAAAACCATATGATTCATTCTGATTACTCTGTACAAAAGAGAAGACTTTCCTATTTTTTTTTTTTGTTGATTTTACAGTTACCTAGTGACACTTTTAAAATTCTTTTGTTATTACAAGTGCAGCAACTTTGTCTTTGCCTCTTTCACTGTAAGAGTTTTAAAGATGACCTCTTCTGATCTTTCAGACACACAGAAAACAGACAAAACCCTGAGATGTCAGGACTCTGAACTTCTGTAGATACAAGAGACGGTAAGGAGTGGTGAATGTGTGAAAATATGCTTATCTTCAGGGTCTGTTTCTTCTTCTATGAAAAAAGTAATGAGAGAACTCTGCCCATGGCAGGGGAGTGGGAACTAGATGATCTTTGAGGTCTGACCCAAGCCATTCTATAATTATATTCTATAAAATATCACAGAACAGAATCATAGGATCATTAGGGTTGGAAAAGACTTCTAGGATCTTCTAGTCCAACCATCCAGATACCACCAATATTGCTCACTACACCATGTCCTTAAGTGTTACATCTATATTTTCCTTAAACACCTTCAGGGATGGTGATTCTACAACTTCTCTGGGAGTCTGTATCTCAAGAAGTATTTCTAAGAATGTCAAATGATAATATATTTCTTTATTATCTCTGAACATACACAATTTTTCAGGTATAGTTACAAGCAATCCCACTTAATGTGAACTTGTCTGGACAACTGATTGCTTAGTATTTCAGTTTGTCCCTTGTTACTTTTTGTATTCAAACATTCAATATTGAATGATGATTTTGCTCTTTGCACAGTTCCCAGTAGTTTTACTCTTCTATTTTTAAATAAATGTTGTTGTATGTAGGTAGGTCACTTTTAGGTGCTTTATGAAGCATTGTTGTTAAGCTATTGCATTTGAATTGTTATGAAAACCAAAGATTTGGGGATTTTGCCATCTTTGTTATTTAGAAGCTATGTTTGTGCACTATTGGAAAAGTCACTTCTTTTCAAAGCTACAAATACCAAAAACAGAAATAAAAACAAGCATGCGATGGCATAAAATGACCACAGGCCAACAAAAAAGCAAGAAAAATGTTCTCTCACATCACATCTTTGTTATGAACTAATATCAAAAGATTTTAGAGTTCAGCTAGGCAAAGAGATATTTAGTTAAGCAAAATAATGAGTTCTGCTATGCATTTCATCTTCAAAATGTCTTACAAAGGTTAAACCTTTAAAATACATCTGTGAAATGAAGCGTTATATTACTAGTGTTACTTTTTTCCCCTCAGTTGAAGTAGATGTTGAATGTTTAAACGTCCAGAGCTGCGGAGAAGGTTGATCAGATTTAGGACTGAAGTTTGTGAGCTTCTCCTGCAGTGCCTGCACTTCTCAGACTGTGCTTGATGTTCTTCACTAATTTATAGTCCACCATCCATTGGTCACGTCCTTCTTTCCCTAGTGTGTCTACAGCTTTCCCTTGCACTGTGTGTACCTACACTTACTGGGTAAGGCTGCCATAACCCTCTAGGTACACCCTCACCTGCCTACATTTGACTTTTCAGATCCCTTTATTTCCTCTGGCAGTACTTTACAAAAAGATCAGTTCTAGAACTCAGCAAAACTCTCAGTTGAAATTGTTTTGTGGAGCCTTGATGAAACCACCATAAATGAATTTGATCCCACATTATGTATAGCCCTCATGAATTTACATAAAGGAGCTCTACATATGAAGGCAGAAAGTGACTCACCACCTCCCATGTTTGCATCAGTCTTAGAAAGATAACATCTGTACCAGGTGGCCCAGGGATGAGAATGGAAGTAGAAATTGCGTCTGTCAAATACCTGTGAGAAAGCAAAATGTCATAATTCTATACTCCGTAAGTTTCAGTGAAAGAGATCTATACTTCAGGAGAGGAAAACCTTCTTTCAGAAGTTTTAAACTGTAATTTGCAGGATTTCTTCAGCTAACTGGTAATGGCTATTTAAATGCTTAGAGATCAACATCAGGAAAACCCTACAGTTTGTAAAAGTATGTAGCTGGTAATATGTGAAGTTGTTTGTAGCAGGCTAGTAACCAATAAAAACCTGGTAGAATTTGACAGTCCAGAAAAGCCTCTACTTGAAAAGCTCAAGAAATTATAAAAAATGACTTAGAACCTCTGGAGATAAACAATAAAAAGAGGAGGAAGTCTGTGATGATTAGCCTTGCTAGCAAGTTTAGTGCATCATATGCTATATATATTAGTACCCAAGTGCATCTGTGAGTTTTTGGATGTCCTCAACTCTGACTGCAGTGGGAGCCCTAGACACTTGGTATTTTGCAGCCTTAGGCTTCTTGTTATTAGTCTGAGGATGCACAGAATCACAGAATGGCCAGGGTTGGAAGGGACCTCAAGGATCATGAATCTCCTACCCCTCTTCCACAGGCAGGGCCACCAACCTCCTTCAATGCTAGACCAGGCTGCCCAGGGCCCCATCTAGTCTAGGCTTGAACACCTCCAGGGACAGGGCATCCACATCCTCTCTGGGCAGCCTGTTGCAGCACCTCACCACTCTCTCTGGAAGAACTTCCCCTGATATCCAACCTAAATCTGCCCTCCTTCAACTTAAAATCATTTCCCCTTGTCCTGCAGTTATCAACCATTTCAAAGAGTTGTTTGTAGGCTCCTGTTTGTAGGCTCCCTTTAGATACTGAAAGGCTGCAATGAGGTCACCCCACAGCCTTCTTTTCTCCCGGCTGAACAGGGCCAGCTCCCTCAGCCTGTCTTCATAGGGGAGGTGCTCCAGTCCCCTGATCATCTCTGTGGCTCTCCTTTGGACCCTCCCTGTCTTTCTTGTACTGGGGGCTCCAGACTTGGACACAGAACTCCAGATGAGGTGTTACAAGAGCAGAGTAGAGGGGGACAATCACCTCCCTGTCTCTGCTGGCCACCCCTCTTCTGATGGAGCCCAGGATTCCATTTGCTTTTCGAGCTGACATAACTGAGGACAAAAATGAACCTTAGCATGTGTTCCTTGAACTGCAGGACATTGTTTCTTGCTTTGTCAAAATATCAATTTTTTTTAATATGTGATTCATAATAATTAACTTGCCTAAAGAAGAAATATACTGCAAAGGTGTACCATAAAAAGTGGAAATATAAATAATTATATAAATAATATAAATATAAATAAGTGGCTGATTTAATTCTGAATATGTTTAAACGGCTAATGTACTTAAAATGCAGAAAATCAAATATTAAAGGCAGCTTTTGTTTCAAAGTAGAAGATTAGTAAGAAAAAACAGTAAAACAGAAGACAAAGTTACAGAAGACATATGGAAAGATCATTAATTTCTTAGCAATAAAAAAGGACTAATAATTTTTCGGGCATTATCTAATAGTGCAACAGTTCTATGAACAGTTGACTGTGACTTGGCACCAGATCAGTTTCCACAGCACAGAGCCCTCTGGGGAGTTTAATGAAGATGGTTACAGTCCTGTTTTACCTTCAAGAAGATAATGTGGCTGATAGCCTAGCTGAAGTGCCTCTACACCAGTGCACACAGCGTAGGAAATAAGCAGGAGATAAAAATTGCAGTGCAATTGGAAAGCTGTGACCTAAATGGCATTACAGAAACACAGTAGGAAGAATTGCAGAACTGAAATTATATGGTTGAGGGAAACAAGCTTTTTGGAAGGGATAGGTCAGGCAAAGGGGATAGAGCAGTTACCCTCTATGTTAAGAAGTGGATAGATTGAGAAGAGCTGCCTCTGAGAAGCAGCCATGATCAGGTTTAGAGCTTGTGTGTAAGAATTAGGGATGGGGCCAATAAAGGACACCTAGTGGTCAGGATGTATTATAGTATGCTTGATCAAGGACAGCCTCCTGACAGGCCTTCTTTCATTAGCTAGAAGAGGTGTCAAGCTTGAAGGCTCTCATCCTGATGGGGAATTTCAACCACCTGGATGTCTGCTGGGAAAACAACACAGCTAGCTGCAAGCAATCCAGGAGTCTTGTGGAGTCTGTTGAGGATGACTTCCTGGTCCAGATACTGGACAGACCAACTAGAGGCTGATGTGATTGCCAAACCACTCTTCATCATGTTTGAAATGCCATGGTTGTCAGGCAAAATTCCTGGTGAATGAAAGAAGAGAATCTCACTCATTTTCAAGGAAGAGAGAAATGAAGTTCTGGGGAACAATGGGCTGACGAGCCTTGTGTATGTGCCTGGATAGATAACGGACAAGATCCTCCTGGAAGAGTTGTTAAGGTACAAATGTGGAAGTGATCCAAGATAGTCAACATGGTTTCATCAAGAGTAGATTGTGCCTGACCAATCCGTTGACCTGTTACAAAGCAGTGATGGCACTGATGGACAAAGGAAGGGCAACTGGTGTCATCTTCCTGGACTTGAGCAAGGCCTTTGTTGAGTTCCCCCAGCACATCCTTGTCTCTAAATTGGAGAGAGATGAATTTGAAGGCTGGACTATTTGGTGGGTAAAGAATTGGTTGGATGGTTTCAGGCAAAGGCTTGTGGTGAACAGCTTAATGTCCAGGTGGAGGCTGGTGACAAGTGGTGTCCCCCAGGAATCTGTCTTGGGGCTGGTGCTTTTCAACATCTTCACTGATAAAGATGTTGACAGATAACAGACAGTGGGATCAAGCATAAATTATTCTTAACAGAACATCCAGGTTGCACTTAGACAATTTAGAGACTTTGTTTGGCTTTTCTAGAGGATAAAAAAAAGTTCTGTTCCTTGCCAAACTCTAGATCCTTTTAGTACAGTCCTTCTCTCAATATTCTACACTTTTGTTATCCTCCTTTCCTTTCAACTTCTGTATCCTTATATTTTTTGTCTTAATTATCTTTTATTGCTGTAAGATGGCTCGCTTCACAGAAACCCTTCTTAAAAGTGCTCCCATTTTCCCTATCCTGAACATCTGTGTGTTTATTTAGTTGAAAATTTCCCAATTGGCTCACAATCCAGTAAGCCACACTCTCATATGAGCACGGAGAGAGACTCCTCTGAAGGAGACCTGGAGGCCACGTGGGTGCTTAATAATTTGGATCTTGTTATCTAGCCTGGTGTTCTGCTAGGCATTCCTAGGAAGGCAGATTTACAGACTGCCTACCAGCTCTTGCTAAGACCTTGTTTGAAGGTGAGGGGAAGATGGATGCGAGAGCCCTTGTTGATGATATAGCAGTGTGAACATAGCTGTTTTACTTTTCATTGTTTTAGACTAATTAAAATGTAAGTACTTTGCGATAAGGACCTAGAGATGCAGACGTATACTGAACAGACATTGCCTTAGGAGAATCCAAGATAGCCAGCAGGTATAATTCATATGCGATTATTTCTTTTAGCTTTCTAAGAAAAGCTGAGAAAATAAGTAACATTCAATCAGTAACTGGGACTATTTCTGGAGCAGTGACTCCTATAAATGGAGAATAGAAAGGAAGAGAATACAGAACTGCATGAATTCGGACTTTTGCAACCATTGAGAAGTAATTTACAAGCAGGATATTTTTTTTGTTGTGGCAGAAAATCCTCAGGCAAAAGGAAAACTTACAAAATTACTCCAAACCCTTTAAGCTCATCATTTCATTAAATAAATTGTAGCCAAACTTTTAGCAGATGAACAGGGTCTGCTTCTGCCTACTGGGAATTGGTATCTCTAAATGTAAACAGACTTCTTTTTTACCCAGTATAAAAGCATTTCACAACTGCTCAAAATGCCAATAATCTCAATTTGTGCATGGCAGCGGCTATATTTAGGGAAGTAGTTTGTGCAGCAGAAGTAATTCTGGAGGCTAAGAATTTCTGGACCTGCCTTCATCTCTGAAGCATATTCATTGTTTCCATTGCTTTTGAGCCTCAGAGTTCTTTTGCTTCAGGTCTAAATGTTTATTAGCTCAAATTGAAGTCTGCCAGTAATCAAAAAGCAGGACTCTCAATTCCAAGTCCTAGCAATGGCACAATGGCATTGAAATTATGAAGGCTTTGATCTTGTGAAAAACAGGAGCAAAATTCCTGTGGAATGTATGGAATACAAAGACAAGCGTGGTTTTTTTTTTTTTTTTTTTTTTTTTTTTGTGTGTGTGTGTGTTTGTGTGTGTCTGTGTGGTTAAAAATAATATCTGCAATAATTCCATGACAAAACTAAAATTGCCTTTCTTACTCTGTGGAGGATGCTAAATAAGAATTTTTAAGTTGTATCTTGTGCTAAGGTAATTATGGGAAAAAATCAGCTTTACATGAATTTGACAGCTGTTTTAAAAGCTCAACTGGCAACCATTCACTACGGTGCTGAAGACCTACGTTCAAAATCTCATATAAGGGCTTGTGTTCTAAAAGCTAGCTAAGACTTGAGATTGCATAACAAAAATGACAGCCTTAGTGCAAAGGCAAATAGAAATCAATCTGTGATATTGAGATGTTTGTGTTTCCTGTATAAAGGGGACAAGGAATTAGAAGGTAATGCTACCCTGAATGGTTTGATGTCCCCAGTTGGGGACATCAGTTTACAGTGACTTAAATGTACATTGGCTGCTTAGATACACCAGAAACTGACAGATCAGTACAGTCCTATAAATCTTGAACAACAAGTATAGCTTTTCAAAAACAACCTTTCAGGAGAAGAAAAAGCCCAAAATAATGACAGTGCACTGACAGTATAATAAAGAGGAATTCGTTATTCTGACTGCAGGGGTTGACAGAGACCAGAGGGCAAATGCATAAAAAAGGAAAAAAAAGCCTGTGTTCAAATGTCACAAAATCCCTGCTTCAATTGAAAGAAAAATAAATATTCTAAAATTATTTTATATGAGCATAATAATAAATAAAAAGTTAATTTATCTG